TTTGATGAGGTTGCCATTTTTAACCCCCTTTTTTTGACCTTGCCCACAATTGGTTATAACTTTTACCTTATTTATACCTTGTCAGTAATATCAATAATATATTATAATTATTATAATTGTATAAACCAATATTCAACAACAATTCAACAATTCAACAATTATCCTTCTTTGGTATCACCTTTCAATACTTAAACAGTCCTATGTAATGTTCTATTTAATTAATTTGATTAGTAAATATCATAAATTTATATATCACACCCTATTCTTATATCAGTAAATGTCTCTCAGTTTTGTCGGTTATTCAATATTCAGTTCTAATAATTAGGCTCTCTATGTTCTCTTACATCAAGCATCACCATTCAGATTTACAGTCCACTAGGTGTCACTCTCTCCTTGGTGTCAGTGTTAATGTCCACGAAGCAAAAGACAGACCTCTATTTCTTGTCTCTGGCACTGTTCCAAGCTCCTGGTCAGATCAATATCAAATACTTAAAAATTCAACACAGAAGCAGAAGAACTGGTAAGCAGAAAAAAAAGGGAACTCCGTTTACCAACCTGAGTATTAAGCAGTCACTTCTTTGAACCTTCCAAATCTTTCCGGCAAATTTTATCTCCCGAAGTCCATGTTGGGATTTCGTTCTTACTGTGGCTGATCTTTAGGTTCTTCCGGCTGTCCCTTCCTGTCTGTTCTAACTCAGCCTCTCTGTACTGCTTCTTTTCGGCAAAATTGAACTGTAAAAACAGCCTCTCTCCCAGCTCCTTCTTCTTTCAGCTCACCCACTTTGCCAGTTTCGCGTTGCTCTCCTCTCTGGATTGTCAGCAATAATAACAAGCAACCGATTTCAACTGCTTCTATCTCTGTTTCTTCCTTCTATGCGGCCGCCATTGCTCAGTCCTAACCAGATGGTAGGATATTTCTTTGTCCGTTTAGGGGGGTTTCTCAGCATTTTTAATCGTGCCCCAGGTACATTTATTTTATCCTATTCTTGTGTTTAGCCAGGTCAGACTTTATTTATCTCATCCTCCTCCTTTCTCATTAAAATCTGTATCAACTTTATTTCTTTTATTTTGAACAGAAAAGCCCAAACCAATGTCTATGGCGATTCTCAGTCATCCAGGTCATGGTTATATCAAAGGTGCTTTTTCAAGAGGCAACTGGACTTTCTGGTTTTTCTTTGAAGACATTTCTCTTCCCATCCAAGAACCTTCTTCAGCTCTGACTGGATGGTGGTTCCTTCCATTCCCCACCATCCAGTCAGAGCTGAAGAAGCTTCTTGGATGAGAAGCGAAACATCTTCAAAGAAAAACCAGAAACTCTAGTTGCCTCTTGAAAAAGGACTTTTGGGACAACCAAACCAATGTCTTCCAAAAGATTCTCTAAGATATTCCTTAAAGAACTACTTACTTTCATGCGTGCAAGTTGTATAGCTGAAAATTTCCTTTCTCCATGGACTAATGGAACCAATCTATTATATAAGGCCTGTAAAGAATACAACAGTAAATATCATTAAGGTAAGTGCTGTTCCAATCAAGTATTATAGATAGATAATTCTGTTTAAACTTCATATCCATGTCACAAAGCTGTTCTAAACATGCCTCTATTTACTGTAGCTTCTGAGACAATTTTCCCTCTTTTTAAAAAGAAACAAAGCAAGATGCTATAAAATGAGTTGGTGTCATAATTAATAAAATGCACATGAATGGGAAAGGAAAGCTTTGGCAGACAGATAGCATAGTACTGCCCTGAAAAGCTGAACTGAAAACTGAAAAAAACAGTGTGTGTCAGGTTCAGGGGGCAGAATTACATTTAGTATAACTCTTTCCTTAAGTACAGCATTTATTTAATCACCCCGCCCTTGGTCCCCTTGGAGGTTTCATGATAGGGAATCTAATTTTTTCCTTGCCTAATACCTTAAATAGTCTGGCCCTGGAAACTAGGTCTGTTCTTATTTATGCAGCAGATTGGAACTAATTTTTGAGTCACTCAAATGCAGTTTCCACCAACTTGGTTCCCTCCGAAGTGTTGCATTGCAACTCCCACAACTGAGAGATGGCCATCACTTTCTCCTGGAGTTCCCATTTCATTTTTGAGCCAGATGTAAAAGGAGAAAGGGAAAATCAAACTAAAGTTTACATAATCTTGAATCTAAAACAAGAATGTAGCCAAGCCTAATCCTTTGATTTTGTAATCTAAATTCTAGGCATTTCAACTGTTATTTCAACTTCAAAATGAGAAAACACAGTGTGTATAATCATCAAACTTATAGATACGTAATGTGGCATGTCACAATTAAAAGACCGTCCTGGAGGACATGGGCATATCTTTTCCAGCTCAAAGATTTATTTATATATTTATGTATATGCATGGGGTCACTGTCAATAGTGCTACATATCTACAGTATCTTTTTCAAAATAAGAATATCTGAATGGGCAACTTGACTTCTGCATCTCTCCAGAGTTTGGAGCTATTTCTAATAATATACCATATGTCCAGGATAGCAATTTTAATATGACCGATTTCATATTATATTATCTAATCCAAACTTTCTATAATTGCCCAACTCTATTGGCATGAGCATGACAAAGAATTTTTAAATTAAACAAGCAGAAAGGATGAGCCTCTGAACCACAAAATACCTTTGTTCATTGACTAATCTCAAAACCAAGGCTCTAGGGCAGCACAGTGTTCTCCCCAATTACAAAACTTTTTATTTTCTCCACACAAATCTTCAAATTCCTAGCAGTCAGTGATGAAATATTTGAATTAAGGAGAAACTTCCTAAGAGTGTGGACAATTAACAGTTTGCCCTCAGAAGTTGTAGGTGCTTCATCACTGGAGGTTTTTAAAAAGAGACTAGATAATCACTTGTCTGAAATGGCATAGGGTCTCCTGCTTGAGCAGGGGACTGGACTAGAAGACCTCCAAGGTCCCTTCCAGCTCTATTCTAATTAATTGATTGATTGATTGATTGAAATGTTGAGGGGCATCATTTTCTTGTTGGTAATCTAAGTACATGGATTTGTGCCCACTACAGCACAAGTTCTAGTCAGACTTCTGGAGGAGAGAAATCCATTTGCAAGATTTCGCAACTCTGGTAACACTAAGACATATGGACTTCAACTCCGAGAATTCCTCAATCAGCATATGCTGGTTGGAGAATACTGGGAGTTGAAGACCACATGTCTTAAAGTTGCCAAGGCTGAGAAATCCTTAATTAATGTCTACAAGCATGAGTAGGCACTACCTTCTTTTTTTTCAAAATAGTAATAGCCCCAGTAATAGTAATCATGGTAGGATCAGAAAGGGTTTGAAACTTTGAATCATTCTGTCATCATTAAAGAAAACCTCTCCTTCATAATGGGAAGGAAGGAAGGAAGGAAGGAAGGAAGGAAGGAAGGAAGGAAGGAAGGAAGGAAGGAAGGGAGAAACCCAACTTTTCTTTTCTCCACACAAGTCTCAGACCTTCAAACTCCTAGCGGTCAATGATGAAATATTTGAAATGGTTTTAATTATTATATTCTCAAAATTGCATTTCACAGAAAATTACAGTGGAGTGAAGGATTATTCTTACCTTATCAGACTGAGTGTTCTCGTGTAGAATTCTAGCGTCTATGGCAGCAGCCAGCAAATTATTTGCTGCAGTAATGGCATGAATATCACCAGTTAAGTGAAGGTTGAACTATATAGGAATGAAATATGAAAAAGACATTCTTTTTGCACACTCCATTAAACTAGTGTCAGTTGATTCAACCCATCCAAACACTTTCACTTCTGGGATTAGTAGTTCAGATGAGCAGTTTGAAATATTATGGAATCATAACTGTCGTGATTGAAGTGATTTACTACGCTATAGATGGTCCCAGTTCTGTGTTCAATAACTTAGTTCTCATGACCTAAGCAGAAATTCATACAGGAAAGTTGAAAATATTCCTTTTTTAATGTGGCAGGCTGTGGGTGATTTGCACAGATCCATTTAGAGATCATTTTGATTTATGATTTGGGTAAAGAGGAACAAAAATGACATTTGTTTTAAAATAACTGTATGAATCCACTTCAGACTCTATAAGAAATAAAAATCTGGGTGGCAAGTAAAGCTTTTCATGTGTTTCCTTAACTGAAAAGTTTAATTAATATCCCTGAGAAAATTAACCTAATGAATGAATGAGTCTGTTCATGTGTCTGTCTGTATATCATGTACCTATATAATTTATATAGCCACACACCTCACAGAACAAGTGAATCTTATAGGTTAAAACAATCAATAAGCACCCACAAATGTTATTACAATTATTAACAATTAAAACATCCACAACTACAAAAAACCAAGCTAAAATAAAAATTAGAAGAAGGGACGTTGTCAATAGTGCAGCCATCTCACTAGTTCACCCACTACCTTGGATCCCCAGGCCAAATCTTAAGTGACCTTCAGAAGCTCAAAGAGAGGAGGCCAACCTCACCTCAGTGGAGGAGAAGAGTCCACAATGTGGGCACCATTTCAAAGAAGGCTCGCTGTCTACAATCCACTAAAAGTAGCTTCCTAGAAAATGAAACCCATAACTTGCCCTCTCTACTAGATCTAGTGAGACGGGCAGATGAAATCAGGGAGAGGCAGTTCTCAAATAACCTGGTCCCATGCCATAAAGGCTTTAAAGATCAACACCAGCACCTTGAACTGGGTAATTGCTTGTGCCACTGCATTTTGTACCACCTGAATTTTCCAGATGCTGTTCAAAGGCAGCTCCATGTAGAGTACATTGTGGTAGCCTAACTGAGACATGACTAGGGCATGAGTGACTGAGAGTAGAGCCACGATCTAGGACCATGATGGCAAACCTATGGCACGAGTGCCAGAGGTGGCATGCACGCCCTCTCTGATGGCACACGAGCTGTTGCCCCAGTTCAGCTCCGACGCACATATATGTGCACCTCCCGCCAGCCACCTGGCCTTTGGGTCTCTGCCATAAATGCGTGGAGGGTGGGGGGGTTGTGTGCAAGAGCGTGAGGGGCAAGGGGCATGTGTGCATATGCAGGAGGCATGTGTGTGAGAGTCATGCATGCATGTATGGGGGCTGCGTGTGTATGCACATGTGGATGTGGGGGGAACACATTGCATTTTGGGGCTTTTGGCATGTGTGTGAGCATTTGCGCTCGTGCGCTTTGGGCACGCAGTCCGGAAAGGGTTAGCTATCACTGATCTAGGATCATATGCAAACTGGTACACAAAATGAAATTTTCAGGATGGCCCTGGTATAAACAGAGGAAGGTTGATTTTTGGGGTGAAAGGCACTAGAAACTAGGCAGTCAATTCTTTCTAGGACTGCCTAGCTTAACCCTTGTTTTGGAAGTTTTTGTTGTGTCTGAATCTGGGATGTCCTGCAATGCTACCAAAGATGAAATGTGCACCCCACCTTAGGGAGCAAATTATCTTGGCCCAAGCTGAAGTCATTATTTAAAAATTAAAGTTGGGGTGCTATTTAAATTAATTTCACAGAAAAATCACTCCTTAATGCAGAGGACAATTAGGCCCTCTGCATTATTTAATTTTCCAAGGCAAAATATGTGTTTACCTCTTCCATGGGTATGACTTGAGCATATCCACCTCCTGCTGCTCCTCCTAACAATGAAGAGAACATGTTAGCAAACTGTGGACAATAGAGGTCATGATTTCCCCTCATTTCAAGTTGACATTCCCTCCTTACTCAGCTCAGGATTAATGATCAGGAAGTTAATTCAATTTCCTTATATCAGATTTGGATTGCCTATTGTCTCCAGCATCTTTTGGGTCTGTGAGAATACCTCAAAACGCCCTGGAACAGGGTAAATGCTTGGCGAATTTGGAAGGGTATGAAGTATTTCAGACATTTGAGGGTCAAAACTCAGGAGACTGCCAACACCTTTCCAGACTAACACATTGTATTAAAAAGCTATAGCTACAGCGATTTAAGGAATGAAACAAATTTATTCCTCTCAAATTGGGTTTCGTTTCATATGGGGAGGGGACTTTAAGAAATAAACAGGGTGTCTAAAACTTAAGGTGATGTAATGAGCTGTGAAAATAGCTTTGAGAGACAGGAATAAGAGTCATAGCCTAGAGAATAGTCTGATAATTTTTTTTTTGAATTCTGGGAGTTGAAGAACACAAGTCTTAAAGTTGCCAAGTTTGGGGATTCCTGTGTTAAAAAGTCCACAACTTTTGGCTCTATCAACTCTATTAATATGATGTCACCAGCCAACCAGCCAAACATGATGTTACCAGCCAACCCTCCTGTGATTTTCAAAGGGAAATTACTGCCAGCTCTTGTAGGAGGAAGTAATGCTTACCTTTAACACCAAAAGTAGGTCCTTGAGAAGGCTGTCTCAGGCAGGCAAAGGAATTTATTTTAAGATGGGCTGTCAGTGCTTGGACTAAGCCAATTGTCACAGTGCTCTTCCCTTCTCCAAGAGGTGTCGGCGTAATCCTAACAATATAAGACAATAAATAGAATTCTGCTGGTCCTAGCCTAAATAAGGATATTTCAATCAAACAATGATATTTTACCATTCTTATGTAAAATTAATCCAGGCACAAACATATGACAATCATAGAATAAAACAGAAAGAATACAATCTAGGATGATACATAAATTAGACAACAATTACGACTGATAATTAGGGGACACGGTGGCTCAGTGGCTAAGATGCTGAGCTTGTCAATCAGAAGATTGGCATTTCGGCGGTTCGAATCCCTAGCGCCACGTAACAGAATGAGCTCCCATTACTTGTCTCAGCTTCTGCCAACCTAGCAGTTCGAAAGCATGTAAAAAAATGCAAGTAGAAAAAATAGGAACCAATTTGGTGGGAAAGTAACAGCGTTCCATGCGCCTTTGCCGTTTAGTCATGCCTGCCACATGACCATGGAGATTTCTTCGGACAGTGCTGGCTCGTCGGCTTTGAAACGGAGATGAGCACCACCCCCTAGAGTTGGGAACGACTAGCACATATGTGCGAGGGGAACCTTTACCTTTACTTCTGATAATTAATCATATTAGACCTTTAAAAAGAGTCGTAGTAAAGTTGTGAACAATAGGAATACACCTATGCATCTATAGCTCCTACTCAAATTATTATTTTATAATATAAATTATTATTTTAGCAAAAATAGTGAATCACAACATCGGTAAGATAGGATTTCTCAAGCTTTGCAGTGCTAAGGTGCACTACACTTCATATAGGATTGACCTTTATCATCATTCTGATATCATCGAAAAATCTGCTCTAAATAATAAAATTGAACTAAAGTTTAAAACCCTAAGACCCTGGGGGATGCAGTGATTTTGAAATGTAAGGCTGGCAGAAAAAAAACTTCCATACAATGAAATCTCTTTGAGCTGGATGGCATTTCTTGATAATAAAAGATTAGAAACTTGGATGACTGAGGACATATGGGAAAACAGCTTAATAATCTTCTTGAGTATGAACAGTGAAGGTATGAGGGTTAGAGATTTTCTTCTTTAATTAATTTCCCCTTTTTAAACATAGTTGATATGGTACACAAATAATAAAATTTGTGTTAAAAGTATTACCAGTTGAGAGATATTATGTGCAATCAAAATTCACTGGCAGCTTAGAATTGGCTTGAGGTATATTAATGTTGTGCCTACTGTCCTAGGAGTTTCTGAAGTGATGGTCACTAGCTTCATAATGGCAGGTGCTATTAAGTGATTGAAGCTCTGCCTCCCTTTAACATATGAATATGTCATAAAGAGTAAAAATATGTTATAAACCTACATAGACAGAAATGAAAAGGTAAACTAAAAGGTAAACTAAATTTCATCCAGTTCTTCCAACCAATTAGTAATGTGGGCAATAATGAGAAGGCACCAAGGGGGCAAATGGCAATATATGCATTGTGATGTGACTGCACACATTATGTTGTTGTTTTAAACATGGCATCATTGCTAAATATGACATTTCTGAAATTATATCACAGTGGGTTGTTGTCAAGTTATAATCGTGGCCTATTATGAAACCAACAATTAGTATATTCCTTTTGAAATAAAAGTGCCATACTCAATTTGGTTTGGATTAGTGGACATCAATTTAATATACAGCATATCATAACTGACTATAAATATTCAGTTCCCCTCCCCAAATTTCTTGTGTTAAACACAATTTACATCTTTTGTGAGTTCAGTGCATTCAAAGAGATATACAAATATTCAGATTCAAGCTGAGAGTGTAATGAATGAATCTCTGGAGCAAGATAGATTCTTTTCAAAATCAAACTTAAGTTTGAACTGGATGTTTTGTCTATTCCAAAAACCCAACTAATTAATTTCCAAATGAGAGTTAAAATGGAACTGCATCATATAAGACATTTTATCAATTTGGTCATAAACTAAAATATGGTAAGAATTTAATTCATATTTAAACATATATATTGAAAATATTCCAGATATTTTATTTTTATTAGCTAATATCAACCTAAAATCTAAGGGACTAGTTTGGACAAAATTCAGCAGCACTTTTTCATGCGACTTTTGATGAAAATAGGATTGCCAACATGATTACTAACGTCCAATGACAGATATGGCACAAGAAGAATATCAAACTAAATGTTAAAAAATGTATTACATGCTGAGACACATTGAAATCATTATTCACAGTCAATGTTTCAAAATGTGCACTTATATTATTTAAAATAATTAAATTTCACTCATACCCATCCATTTTTATACCTATCAAGCTATCAATCAGATGACAGGATTTTTTGCTGCTTCCATCATTTACTCCCAGTAGTTTTGAAGTTATGATTCTTTTTAAATATTATTTTATTGATCATTTTAGAGAAGGATATAAATCACAATGCATGAACGACAGATGAAGAGAATTAAGAGTAGAAAGAAATTAGTAACACATGGTCTATAATGTGATGAAGGTTATAGCTTTTCAATATATCCTTAATTGCTACAAAGAAATAAAAATGAGTACAATACAGGCATATCTCAGAGACACTGTGGGTTCAGTTCCAGACTACCACAATAAAGCAAATATCATAGTAAAATGAGTCACACAAATGTTTTGCTTTCCCAGTGTACATAAAAGCTATGTTTATACAGTATAATGTAGCTTACTAACTGTGTAATAATATTAGCTAAAAAAACCCAATATATATACCTTAATTAAAAAAATATTTTATTGCTAAAAAATGCTAATCATCACCTGACCTCCAGTGAATAATAATCTTTTTGCTGGTGAAAGCAAGCACAATAAAGCAAAGTGCAACAACACAAGGGTACGCCTGTAGGCTTCCCTTTTTTTCAAAGGTAATGTATAAATAGCCACCTATCTACAATTTTATAAACATATAACAGGAAATTTAAGGCTGAGTCTGAACCTTTTAAAAAAATTGGAGGAAATAAAGATAAAGGTTTCCCTCAAACATCTTTGCTAGTCGTTTCTGCTCATTTCTGTTTCAAAGCTGAAGAGCTAGCACTGTCCAAAGATGTCTCTGTGGTCATGTGGCTGGCATGACTAAATGCCGAAGGCGCACAGAACGCTGTTACCTTCCCACCAAAGGTAGTCCCTATTTTTCTACTTGCATTTTTTTACGTGCTTTCAAACTGCTAGGGTGGCAGAAGCTGGGACAAGTAACGGGAACTCACTCTATTACGGGGCGCTAGGGATTTGAACTGCCAAACTTTCTGATCGACAAGTTCAGTGTCTTAGCCACTGAACCACCATGTTTCTTTGGAGAAAATATAAGATTTTAAAAAGTACTAATGATGCAGAGTGTAAAGTGATAAAAATGACTGTATGACTAAGAGTATTTTGGTGAACCAAAATTGCAGGGGATATATGTGGGGGGAAAAAGTGTTTTTCTATCTGACAAAGCACTTATGGAAATTAGCAGTGCTTATTTAACAGAATTAGACCTTCCTTCTCTAGGATGCCATTGCTCAGATATGTTAAAGATCCAGTTCCATAATTCCCATGTAAAGAGGAACTGTTTCTATTTAGCTGTAAAAACACTGACCACCATAAATTTGCACTGCAATCAGTGCATTTCTGCAGAGAGATTTCAAAACTACCCAAGCTATTCATCTGGGGCATCTCTTTTATCAGCCAGAGAAATTCAAGTTAAAAACCAAACAAAACTAAATTACATTTTCATTCACATCATTCCCACTCCATTTCTAACAGAAAATGCTTGCCAAGATATGCTACATTTAACTGTTTAAATCTGTGGTACTTTAGCAAATGCAGTGAAATAAGTAGTTTATTTAAGGTATGTGACATTGCGGATTACATTTTCATTCCCAGGGATATACAAGCATTCAGGCAGAAGTGAGCCAAAAGCGGTAACTCCTATTTCATGACCTCCTAAAGGCTCAAGCTAGAAATCCACTTCTAATTAGAAACATATTTTCCTGAACTGCAGAAACTTTGCAAAAGGTCCAGCGTCCGTGGTAGGCTACATTTGCTTTGGGTGAAAGATGCAATCAGAAATATGTTTTTAATTTATCTTTTAAAAGAACTGAATATTTTGTCTATCGTTATTTTTTAAAAAAACCCTATATAACAATTTTGTGAGCTCAGAAAAATCAATGTTTCACAATAGGGCCAAGGGAACCAAGTTACAGAAGCCTAGAAGGAGATTGTTTTCAGTTCCTATCTCTCAGCACAGCTTATCTATCTGACGATCTCTTCATGTTGGAAAGGGAACTTTCTGTAAATGTAACATTTTATATTTGCATTCTGAACCAAAGACAACAGTTTAAAAAGAACATGAAAGAAAAAAGAAGCATACAGGTAGACCTCACTTAACGACTGATCCCTTAGTGGCTGTTTGAAGTTATGAGGGCCTCCTAAAAAGGTACTTATGATCTAATTTTGAACTTCTAATCTAGCTGTTCCCTACAATCATATGATTGCACTCTGGATTCTTGCCAACCAGATCACTTTTACAGCTGTTTGCAGCGTACCTCAGTCATTAATTTCAATTTTTGATATTTTTTCTGGTTTCCACCATTTACTTTGTTTCTAGCAAAAAAAAAAAAAGCCATTGCATAAAATGGATTCACTTAATGATCGCTGTGTTTAATTTACGACCACTGCATTCACCTAACGACTGCCACAAAAACGGTTACAAAATCAAGCATGGTCACTTAATGGCTTCAATGACTTATGACTATAATTATGATTGATTGGTGATAAAGAACTAGATATGAATTTTGGAATATTCTGCAATATTCTAAAACGAAAATGTGCACACTTTGGTGCCATCTACCGTTTATCTGGGTTTATGCAGACCTGGTCAGGTAGCCTATCACATCCGAAAAATCCTAAGTTTGACATGCCAAATTTTTGACAGCTTCCTTATTTGCTAAAGGGAGCAATCATGGAATAAGTAGCACTTACTAGAAAATTAAAGATAGAATGTATGGAAAAATTAAGCATATGAATATACTTATTGAATTTATGTGATACTTATCTGGAGACAAACACAAACAGGTACAGTACAGTACAGGCACAGTAGCTCATTGCAAGATAGAATACATACCTACATACCACATACATACATACATAACAAATAAATAATAATAAATATAAATATAAAGTGTTGTAACAATGGGCTTTAATAATTACAGCAATGAGACAGGACAGGAGGGTGTATAGTTGAAAACAAAGGAGAACAACAAAAGATGCAACTCTGATATGGAGTCCGAATTCTCAAAGCAGAGCTATTTAGCATGTGTTGCTAATTACCTGGGTGACTGGAACCAAAATAAGCTCTAAGTTAATAAATAGTGCAAAGAATCTATTGATAACTGGAGACATTTAAACTGAATGTAAACATCCATTAATGTAAGTTCTTTATTTCTTACGTTATATTGTATGGTTTGACTTGTAAAAGAGACAAATTAGGTCTTCACGGCATGACCCAAGCTCCTGCTTTGGGAGAGCTGATAAGAGCAATCACAGTAATCCGTAATTACTGTTGTCTCAGGGAGAGGTAACTAACTATCCAGAATTGCTCCTCAGAGAACTTGCAGTTAACTTATAAGTAGCGAATTTAACATGTGCTTTAAAGACCAAGCATTGCATGGTGGACTATTGCCAGGGAGACTCGGGTTATAATCTATCTTCATTTACCTAAATTCAGTGGTTGATTTTAGGCCAGTACCTCACAGGGGTATTGTTGTGAGGAAAAATGGAAAGTGGAGCTCCACTGTATGTTTGCCTTCTTAAGCTACTAAACAAAAGGCAGACACACAAATAAGTAATAAATATGAATGGTGGCAAACATTCCTATCAATGAATGAAAGAAATGCAAGGGTGCTCAGGATAATTCACATACATTAATAATGCATGTGAAGAGAAAAGAAAAAATTTTAAATGTTGCAGACGGAACCATCTAAATGAAAATACAAGCTACATTTTGTTATCTAAGCAAAAGTAAGGGGAATACATTTACTATTTCTTACCCAGCAACCAGTACATATTTTCCATCTGGCTGATCTTTCAACCTTTCCAGCAGAGAAAGACGTACTTTAGCTTTGGTTTGGCCATAGATTTCAATTTCTTCTGTGAGCAATCCTATCTCTTTGGCAAGAATATGGATATGTTTTGGAGCCTGTCCCCTGGAAATTTCAATATCACTGCAAAAGCAAACAAATCAAAAATAGGTATGTATACATAGTTGGATGTACAATTGGCCATAAAGAACGTACATTTACACCTAGATCTTTCAAATCATCTTCTACCTTCAGTTTACCTTGGTGGAAATAATTTTGGGGAAAGTTCTTTGTGCTCCAGGAATGTTGAAGAAACAATATATTGAGTTGCTAAAGAACTCTTTGTCCTGTGGCTGAACTGAATTCTAAAGCTGCTTACATAGGTTTGTCATTTGCTTCTCTCTTGATTATCACTGCTGGTTAATCAAGATGGAAAATTTTCAGTGGACTTTCTTTACACGTAAGTTTGGTTTCTCTGAGACATTTAGAAAAATATCTAATGCAACCTCCTGCCTAGTGCAGGGATCTACTACTATAACCACGCCGACAGAAGACCACCCAACCACACATTAAAAGCCAAGCCAAAGTGACCAAGGCAGTTTCTTTGATTACTAGACAGATTTTATCATTAAGAAAATCTTCCTGATGTCCAACCAAAAAAGACTTCCCTGAAGTTTAACATTAATTTTTCCTTATCTTTTCTTTTGGAATCATGGATCAAATTTGCTCTATCTTTTACTGACAGCCTTTAAATACTTGAAGGAAACTTGTCTCCCTGAAATGTTCTTTTCTTCAAGCTAAACTTAGTCAATATTCCCAACCAGCCTTCCTAGCGCAAATATTGATTTTGGGACTGCAAATAAATTTTAACAAATAGGCAAATTTGCAAATAAGAAGAATCAACTTTGTGCTATGTATTGTACATCTGGTCACCAGTGTTGCGCACACACAAACACATTTTGGATTCATGTTTCAAAATTGGTATGCTTTCCATTTTTGATAATACAATTATTACATCAGAAGCAATTTCAAGACTTCTATAATCATCTGGAAATGAATCTACTTATAGGAAGCTGTTATGCTACAGAAAATGGTTTTTTTTTAAAAAAAAAGAGAGAATGTAGTTATTTCCAAGAGTACTAGGTTTCTGTATTAAGAAAACAAAACTAAGCCAACTATCTGAAGAAATTCTCAACATTCCCATTTGACATTTCCCACTAAGAAAAATTATATTAGATTCCCTCCAGCCTGGTTCATATCAATTCCGCTAGAGAATAATAAATACTTTAATGTTCATGTGATACAATCATACATACATAATTGCTTAAAGAAGAAAGTTTCCTCTATGTTTAAGCAAAGCACATATTGATTGTACCCTTCTGTCTCCTTTTATTATACTTGCCAAAGTGCTATGTGTGAAATGGGCTCCTCTATTCATATTCCTTCTTGCATTAGTCTAACCTAAAATGCATAATTTTAATTTGCAACTTTCTCACTGTACTTTCTTGTTCTGAGGAAGAGTGTAGATCAATGCAACATGAGCCCACAATCACACGAAGATAGGGAGCTGTCTTCACCTAATCAGACTACTGGTCCATATCATGTGACTGACACTGGCAGCACGTTTCTAAGATTTCAGGCAGGAATTCTAAAGACTGAAGTTGGGAATTATTGCATGTAGACCATATACCGTATTTTCACGACTATGAGCCGCACTGAAAATCCTAAAATTTGATCCAAAACCGGCAGTGCGGCTTATAACC